TTCCTTTCCTTGACTCTTCTCTTTGCATTTAGTTACCTTCTTGCAGTTCATAAGGATCTGAAGGAAGACAGGAAGGAAGGAGGAAGGGTGGGGTTATGTTCTCTTGCCTTATCTAGGGCCAGTTATTTAAAGGTTCATGGAAATGTACAGATGGAAGACTACACCAGATCAAGAGCTCATGTAGTTGTTTTATTTTACTGAGACAGACCAGGATGGCTTTGAACGCGAATTGATCCTCCTGCCTTTGCAAACTCTGCCACCACACCCTGCGTAGTACTGTACTGTATTTTAAAATACACAGACAAGCTGAATGTTGCCACAATCTATAATCCCACTGAGAACTTGTCTCAATCCCCCAGAAAGGAAAAAGCAAAAACAACAACAAGAAAAACAACACAGTAGTTCAAACTTTTTATTACATGTATTTATTTTTGGTGGTGGTGGTGGTGGTGGTGTGTGTGTGTGTTCGTGTTCATGTGTGTTCATGCACACATGCCATGAGCTCACTAAGAGCTTAGAGGACAGCTTTGTGGAGTTGGTTCTCTGTTTCCACTGTGGTTTTCAGGAATTGATCTTAGGATGTCAGGCTTGGCAGCAAATGCTTTATTTACTGATCCTCCTAGCCCACACACAGTAGTTCTTTGTTTTTTGTTTTATATTTTTATTTATTTGTCCCCATGTGTTTGGATGCCTAAGGAGGCCAGAGTCCCTGGAGCTGGAGTTACAATTAGTTGTTAGAGAATTGAACTCTGGTACTGTGCATAAACCCAGACTCGCTTAACTGCTAAGCTGTCTCTCTAGCCTCCTGTGTGTATATCACTGAATGTTATTGCTACATTACATTTCAGTCTGTTTTTACTACAAGACATTTGGATAGAGTGGTCTGCCTTTTGAAGTATATTAAAGTTGTCATGTAGGCCTTTTTTGTCTTGAGTCAGGTTCTTACATTGTAGCCCGTGCTGGCTCAAACCTGTGGCAATCTTCCTCTGTCAGCCTCCTCAGTGTTGAGATTACATCTGTGAGGACCCATTTAGTATACACCTGCTTTAAACATAATCCAAATGATACTTAATTCTAGTAATTTTTTTCCAGGATTGCTTTTGGATTGAATAACAGACTGTCTGATAGATCTTAGGTTGAATAAGTAAGTATGTTGCTAGTTTTCCTCATGAAACAAGTGTAGACACAGATTGCTTTGGTGTACTGGGTAGGAGAAAATGTAGAAAGTAAAGTTTATATTATTTCATGTCTCATGTTATAGAGCCATTTACAAATGAGGAAATAATGGTTCTGTTTTGTTTTGTTTTGAGACAGGGTTTCTCTGGGTAGCCTCACCTGTCCTGGCACTCACTCTGTTGACCAGGCTGGCCTCTTAGGAAATCCACCTGCCTTTACCTTCCAAGTGCTGGGATTAAAGGCTTGGGCCACCACTGTCTAGCTTTTGAAAAATGTTTATTATGGAAAACGTAAATATGTATACAGTGCACTTTTTTTTTTTTTTTTTTTTTTCGAGACAGGGTTTCTCTGCGTAGCTTTGTGCCTTTCCGGGAGCTCACTTGGTAGCCCAGGCTGGCCTTGAACTAACAGAGATCCGCCTGGCTCCGCCTCCCGAGTGCTGGGATTAAAGGCATGCGCCACCACCGCCGGCTTACAGTACACTTAATATGTTCCGATCTTATTTTTTAAATCTACAGCATCCTGCCCCATTCCATGTTACTGTTGAAGCCATTCTCAGGCATTCATGTTAAATAGGGCTTTTAAATTTGTTTTTAATTAATTACATCATTTTCCCTTTCCTTCCTCCAAGCCTTGCTGATAGCACCTCTTGCTCTTTCAAATGTATGGCCTCTTTTTCTTTAATTGTGTGCATTCCTAATTACATAAATTACAACCTGCAGTCTGTACACTGTTACTTGTATGTATGTTTTCAGGGCTGACCACTTGGAATTGACTATCCAGTTGGTGTGCTCTTTACTGGGGAAGACTGTTTTCCTCTTGACGTTCCTTAGTAGTTCTTAGTTCCTTTGAGCTCCCCCTCCCCCATCCACAGTAGCAGCCCTATTGATGATTCTTAATGGGTGTGTAGCTTCTGACATTTCTAGGAGAGACAGTCCACAATCTCAGAGCAAATTTCCTGTGAAGGACTTTTTATTTCTTTTAATAATAGCCACAATATTGTGTTCTGCTTTTCTCTTTTATTTTTCATTTCTCCCTAGTGTGCTTGCTTTCGCTCTCTCTCTCTCTTTTTTTTTTTCCGAGACAGGGTTTCTCATGTAGTTTTGGTGCCTGTCCTGGATCTCACTCTGTAGATCAAAACCAAAAATAAATAAATAAATAATAAATAAATAAATGCAAAATCTTGTGTTTTCCATATCTTCCAGTTTAAGTCACTTCTCGGAACCAGCCGCCTGTCTCCATGCTATTCCTTGGACAGCAGAGTTACAGTACTTAGTTCCCAGTAAATTCCTTTACCTTTCCAGTTAGGAGGGTTCAGTCTCTCAGTGATTTAGCCCTGAAAATTTGTCATGACTTTCTTCTCTGTGGGCTGTATATTCTTGCCATCCACGTCAGTCTGCTCCCTGGAACTGTCCTTTCTTTGATGACCTACTGTCCCAGACTTAAACTGAATGCCTTCATTGTTGTGTAACTAGTGTGCTGTATTCTGTATTGGCTGCCTTTTTTTTTTTTTTTTTAATTTTAATACAGGACAGAAGGAAAGAGAGCATGCAAGACACAAGATTATTGTAGACAGATTCTGTTTGTTTTTTTTTTTCTCTTGTCTATCTTTCTATTTTCTAGACTATCAGTAGAAAAAAAAAACAGTCAGTAGGCATAGTGATCTTAATACTTGGAGATAGAGACAGGTAAGAGCTCTTGAGTTTGAGGCCAGCCTGGTCTACATAGTGGGTTCCAGGACACCCAGAGATATATAGTGAGACCTTATTGCAAAAAAAATTTAAAGAAAGAAAAAAAGAGTCCATGAGAAGGTACATGACTGCGCTAAGGCCGTTGCACAAGTGTAGAGATGCCCATCCCACAGTGGTTCAGCGATTGTAGAGAATGAGGTGGGCTTCAGAGCCACTAAGAGTTGTCACAATGAAGAACATTAAGTAGGACACTTAGAAAGAGAACCCAAAGATAGTCTCAGTGTTGGTTGTGCTCAGATGAGTGTATGTAACTGTTGTAATTGGGAATCCAGGGAGAGGCTTTTGTTTGTTTGATTGCTGGCTTTAGTACTGTTGAACTCAGAACTTTCTGCACACCAAACATGTATTTTGCCCCTGAACTATGATCTCAGCCCTGTAATTTGTTTTTGATTTTGATTTTCAGAAAAAGGAATTAATATGACCAAGGGACATCAAGTGTAGATATTCAGGCCCTTGGATAAAAGTGTGTGAACTCTGAAATTGTCAGGTTGGAGAGGGTGATGTTAGTATTTGTGTCTCTCATTTTTCTTTCTGTTACTGTTACAAAACACTGACCAAACCAGAGACCCTCCTTAAATTTCCAAGTCACACACAGTTCAGTATTGAGGGAAGCCAGGCAGGAACTGAAGCAGGAACCTGAAGGCAGGAGCTGGGAAGCCGAGGTCTTGGAGAAATGGAGTGCTGCTCACCGGCTTCCTTTCCATGGCTTCCTCAGCCTGCTTTCTTCTTTTTTTGGAGATGAGGACCGAACCCAGCTCTACCACTGAGCTAAATCCCCAACCCTCAGCCTGCTTTCTTGTACGATCCAGGACTACCTGCCCAAGGATGTGGGATCTCCTGAATCAAGAAAATGCCCTACAATCTTGTCCACAGGCCGTTCTGATGGGGACAGTTCTTCCATTGAGGTTCCTCTTCGCTAAGCACTCTAGTTTGTGACAAGATGACAAAAACTAATCAGCATGCTATCTAAGAGGTAATCACCCAGGAGGCAAGGGAGAAAGCCAGGACTGAAGGCCAGAGTTGAAAGAAACAGCTGAGATGGAAGATGGAGTGTTGGAAGCCACAGATGCAGAAATGTGAGTGCCCTTTAGATTTAGCAGTAAGGAGTCCAGTTGAAACTCGCTGGTGAGGGCAGTGTTGAGTGGAATGTGATGCATACCCCAGATAACAGCTAGTAGAGTACAGTGCCCGTAGCAAATACTGACTTGTGGAAGTTGTGACGATATGGAACAGTGAGGACAGCAGTAGGGAGTCGGGTCAAGGAGGCCAGTGTAGGATGTGTAGGGACTGTACGTGGAAGCAGTAGCGGAAGGTAGTGGTTGGGAGAGTGCTGTGGCTCTGGGGCGCCATTGCAGGAGTGGACTTGAGTTGATCTGTAGGTAGAGAATGAGAATGGCCCCCATAGGCTCATTTTTGTAATAGTTGGTCTCCAGTTGGTGACTGTTGGGGAGGATTAGGAGGTCTGGCCCTGTTGAAGTTGTGTCACGGGGTGGATTTGAGGTTTCAAAAGCCCAGGCATTCCCAGTGCACACTCTGTCTCCTGCGTGTGGTTTGAGATGCTGGTCTTCCACCTGACCTTTGCTCCACCATCCTGGACTCTAATCTTACGGAACTGTAAACTCAGTTGAATGCTTGCTTTTATTATTTGCCTTGTTTGTGGTGTTTGTCACAGCAGTAGGAAAAGATGACAGACATTAGCAAATAGAGAACAGATTTCTTGGGTTACTAAAAGGAATGGAGAGGGAAAAATGAGAATGGGGTTAGTGATGGATGGATTGAAATGTTGTGGAGTTTGTTTTTAGACCTGAAGGGAGTGGAAGCCATTTATGCTTTTTGAGTATTAGAGGATCCAGGAAAGCTGTGCTCAGGAGAGTTCTGTGGGTGATTGAGTAGAGAGAGGTGGGGGATTCTTTTTGAGTATTGTAGGACCCAGGAAAGCTGTGCTTTAGCAGAGTTCTGTGGGTGATTGAGTAGAGAGAGGTGAGGGGATTCTTTTTGAGTATTCTAGAATCCAGGAAAGCTGTGCTCAGGAGAGTTCTGTGGGTGACTGAGTAGAGAGAGGTGGGGGATTCTTTTTGTTTCTGAGTATCTTCTATAGCTATCCTAACGTAGAGAATGCTGGAATATCTTCTTTTGTGCTAACCTAAACAAAACTTCTCACTCCTCTCCTCCCCTTAAAGGTCTCAGGGTTTGGTTTCCTTTTATTGCCCTTCACCACGGAATAAGATTTTTGCTTTCTAGATACTTGCAGGAAGAAGCAACTCTGTTCTATGACTATAAATTCATAGGAATATGGCAAGACAGTGTTTGAAGATAGTCTTCTAGTTTCCAGGTGAAATACTGTGACTAAAGACGTTAATGTTGCCTGCTGCCATGATACTCAGTCGACCAGCATTGAAAGCAGATGAGAACCAGGCACCCTGTCCCTACTGCCTCTTCTGTCATCTAAGCACCCCAGACTCTGCACTGACCTTGGTAATGCTTACTTTCCCTCCCCACACGTAATAACATGTGAGTGTTATTTTATACACACAGATCTGTGCATTTGCCCCTGCCCAGACCCACTGCTCTTTGTCTCCCCTCTATTCCTATCGGGTCCTTTTCCTCCTGCTTTCATAATACACACACTGTCACCCTCTCGTTATTCCCCACCTTAGATCCATCTCTTCCACCCTTCTCAGAGTCCCTTTAGGCATAAAAACTTGAATTTCAGTCTTTGAGAGAAAACACGACCCATTGACTAATTGGGTGGGTTTTTGTTGTTATATTTAATTTTTGGAGTTTTTCTTTTTATAGATTGTAGATAGTGATCCCCTTTTGGATATGGAGTTGAAAAAGGCTTCTCCCACTCTATAGGCTCTTTTTATTCTATTGATTGTTTTCTTTTGCTGTGCAGAAACTTTAATTTCATGCAATACCATTTGTCAGTTCTTGAATAATTTCCTTTGCTGTTGGAATTGTGTTCTGTTCATTTCTGAATGTCAAAGAATTTTGTAGTTTTAACTGTACTGGCATGTACTGTATAGATAGTTTCTCTGCTTTACTTATAAAAATCAGTTTGTTAATCCCCCCCCCCCCACTGGGTTTCTCTGTGTAACAGTGTGACTATCCTGGAACTTATTCTGTAGCCCAGGCTGGCCTCTCACAGAATTTGCCTGCTTCTACCTCCTGAGTGCTGGGATTAAAGATGTGTGCCATCACACCTGGCTCAGTGTGCTGATTCTTAGTGAAGGGTGGATTAACTTCTTTTGAGACAGGGTCTCACTGTGTATCCCTGAACTCTAAGCCAAGCTAGCCGCAAACTCACAGATTCGCTACCTGGCTGGAGTAGCTGTTTGAATTAGTACAAATAGCAAGAATATTGTATTTTTTTTTTTTTTTTTCGAGACAGGATTTCTCTGTGTAGTTTTGGTGCCTGTCCTGGAACTTGCTCTGTAGACCAGGCTGGCCTCGAACTCACAGAGATCTGCCTGCCTCTGCCTCCGAGTGCTGTGATTAAAGGCGTGTGCCACCACCGCCCGGGGCAAGAATATTAAGTGTGATGGTTGAACTAAAGTGGGGGGGGGGCTACTTTTACCCACTGTTGGTGGCATTTTCCAGGACACTGTTTGACTAAGGATGACTTAACAGAGGTGCTTTGTGCTGAGATGTTCTCATCCAATTTAGTCTGTTAATTTCACTTGCTGTGCAGTACTCCTTTATTTAAATGAGTTTGTAAATCTTTTTTTTTTTTTAAATCTTTGTGTGTGTGTGTGTGTGTGTGTGTGTGTGTGTGTGTGTGTGTGTGTCTCGTCGTCGTCGTCCCCGTCCCCGTCCCCAGCTGAGGACCGAACCCAGGGCCTTGTGCTTGCTATGCCAGCGCTCTACCACTGAGCTAAATCCCCAACCCCGAGTTTGCTCTCCTCCTCGATTCCCGTCCAGTCTGCTCCGCCCCTTTTTGTTGTCTCCGCTTTCATCAGGCTTATTATCTTTTAGCCTTGGGTGGAAGTGCTTCAGACGATATGAAACTGATTCATTGTGACTCAGTATTTAGACCAGGACTTTCCTGTTTGATTGTCCTGTCTAAATAGCCTTAGCTTGTGCTGTAGTTACTTATCTCGGCATAGCAGATTGCCTCAGGACAGGCTGTGAGAACACACTCTCGGAGTTAGTGCACGAGTTTCCGTTATCACCTGCTGAGTGTTAGAAGCGTGCTTTCTCATAGGTTGTCCTAAGTCCTTATGTGGGGTGGGGGGGAGTACAGGGCTAAGTGTGAACTTCTTACTGTGGGATATGATGATTGAGAAAACCTGTTGATCTTTAGTGAACGGTGGCGGGAAGTTTGAAGAGTAATTGCGTGTGGAGGAAATAAATGGTCTCTGTAATCTCAGGTGCAGAGTCTGTTACCTGGGGAAAGTAATGGGTGCTCATAAGAACAGAGTACTTAGGAATTCTTAATCTGGAAATTTCTTTCAGGAGGCAAAACCTTCAACTGAGGACTTAGGGGATAAGAAGGAAGGAGAATACATTAAACTCAAAGTTATTGGACAGGTGAGTTTCACTATTTTTCTCATTTAACGTTTTGTTTTGTTTTGTTTTTCGAGACAGGGTTTCTCTGTGTAGCTTTGTGCCTTTCCTCGAACTTGTTCTGTAGCCCAGGCTGACCTCGAACTCACAGAGATCTGCCTGCCTCTGCCTCCCGAGTGCTGGGATTAAAGGCGTGCGCTCGGCTCATTTAACATTCTTTGGGTGTATAAAAACATAGGAAAAATATTAGGTAAGACACGTTATTTAAAAATTGCATTTTCCCTTATTGTACATGTGTCTGTGGGGGTAAAAGAGACCTGCTTGGTTTTGAACTTGCTACGTAGACGAGGCCTCAGACTTGAGATGCTCCTGCTTCTTCAAGTGCTGGAATTGAAACGTGCCACCACACCTGGCATGTTGTTGTTTATTTATTTATTAGATCAGAATTAGTGAAATGGTACACTCTTGCCATCAAAATAGGATAGTTTTCCACATTCTTCCAAGTGTGAGAACAGTGCCACTGTGACAGATTTGGGGGGGGGGGTTCTGCTTATTCCGTGTCTATGTAGGTGTGTAATGGTGGTGGGGACTGAACCTAGGGCCCGGCACATGACCAGGTCAGTGCTCGACCACTGACCCATATATATCCCCAGCAGTCTTCTTACTCTTTTCATTACTGCTTTGAGTGTGGTATGTGTGCATGCAGTCATCACACTCAGTTGTTTATGCTCATATAGTGGAAGGCAGAGAAGGATGTTAGTGTCTGCTCTGTTACTCTTCATCTTACTCCCCTGAGATAGGAGTTCTCATTGTTCCTGGAGCTGGCTGGTGACCAGATAGTTTCAGGGCTCCTCCTGACTCTTTCCTATAGCACTGGAGTTCAGCCTGGCCTTTATTTTTTTAGTGTTCATATTGGGATCTGAACTTGGATCCTCAGGCTTGTGCTATCTTACCCTCTGAACCTTTCTTTACCCTCTACCCTTCTTTGTTTTAAAATTAGTTTATTTTTTAAATTTTATGTGTGTGGACGTTTGGCTGCATATGTTTGCACTGCCTGCGTGGAACTGGAGTTACAGTGTGAGCTGCTGTGTGGGTGCTGGGAAGTCAAACCCAGATTCTCTGAAGAGAAGCCAGTGCTCTTAGCCACTGAGCTGTCTCTCCAGCCACTGACACCATCGCCACCATCATTTTGAGATAAGCACTCACTGTACAGCCCTGGCTGGTGTGGAACTCACTGGTAGACCAGGCTGACCTTGACCTCTCAGAGATGTGCCTGCCTCTGCTTCCTGAGTGCTGGGATTAAAGGCGTCTGTCATCGCCTGGCCCTTTCCTTGGCCTGCAGTTGGGAATGAATGAGGAAATCTGTCATGAGAGAGCACACATGGCGGCAGGAGTGACTTGTGTGTGGTGCCAGCCGGGAAGCAGAGTCACAGTACAGCTGGCTTTCTCTTTTCTCCCTTTTTACTCAGTCTAGAACCCTGGCCCACCAGGGAGGTGCCACCCCCACTTCAGGGTAGGTCTTCCTTCCTTAGTTAGACTTCTCTTGTGTCTTCTGGGTGATTCCAAGTTGAGTCAAGTTAATGATGAGCCAACCACCAGGGGAGCGTCTGAGTATGTTTAGATGTCTGTTTAGAGCTGTGACCTATTTTAAAAGCTGGATTTTTACTTTTAAGTTGTAATTTTTAAAAATATGTTGGGTAGTAAACTTTTTACTAAATACATGGTTAGCAAAAAACTTCCTCTTAGTTTTGGGTTATGTCTTCACTTTTTTTGGTTACTTTACAGCATATTTTGTTTCTTTGAGACAGGGTTTCTCTGTGCTGCCCTAGAACTAGCTCTGTAGACCAGAATGGTCTCAGACTCCCAGAGATCCTTCTCCTGAGTGCTAGGATCAAGGGCATGTGCTGCCATAGCCCGTTTTGTGTATTTCTTTTGCTTCTAATTAAGAAACTGTAGTCTACCTGGGCAGTGGTGGTGCGCTTTAATCCCAGCAGTGGGGAGGCAGAGGCAGGCAAAGTTTGTGAGTTTGAGGCCAGCCTGGGCTACAAAGTGACAAGCAAAGGCTACATAGAAACCCTATCTTGAAAAAAACAAAAACAAACCAAAAAAAAAAAACAAAAACAAACAAAAAACCCTAACACCACCCCCCCCCCAAAAAAAAAAGAAAAAGAAAAGAAACTGTGTCTAATCCAGGGTTGCAAAGACTTAACATCTGTGATTTCTTCTAAGTATTTAATAGTTTAGCTCTTAGGTTTACATCTTTTATTATCAAGTTATTTTTGTATGAGTATTTCCTAGGCCATTAGTTAAAAAGACCATCTTTGGGGCTGGAGAGATGGCTCAGAGGTTAAGAGCACTGACTGCTCTTCCAGAGGTCCTGAGTT